ATGGGACACTGGCGGGAGACACACTCCTTCTGGAGGAGTCTGTGTTCCCGCCAACGCAATCATAGGCCGTGCGGGTCCCCTGCGCACGACCTCGGCATACCCTCCTTTCGATAAGAAGGAGAAACGTCTTTTCGCCTCATGGTAGATGTTTTCTGTGGTTTTCAAAGTAAGTATTTCTTTTTCTTCTTTCCATTTTGGACAAGAGCGCGAGTATGCTGGGTGACGGCCATCACAGTTGACACATTTCGGTTCACTCTCGCAACTGTCAGCAACATGCTCCTTACTGGAGCACTTCGCGCAAGTGTCGCTTCCCCAGCAGCTCCGTGACCCATGGCCGAACCTTTGGCACTTAAAGCACCGCTGAGGGTTCGGCACATAGGGGCGAACACGGCACTGGATGTAGCCTGCCTTTATGGTCTCTGGAAGTGTAGTGGCGTCAAAAGTCAGTATAACATGTCTTGTTTTTCGCTCCACGCCCTCACGACGAAGGGTGATGCGTCGAGCAGCTACTACTCCTTGGTCTGAAAGGCCTTCAACAAGTTCCTCGTCAGATGAGTCTATTAGGTCGTCCTCTGAAATAACTCCTTGCACTGTATTAAGTTTACGGTGTGGAGTAACATTTACTTTATAGTCAGACACAGCATTGAGAGAAAGAAGGGCCTCACTTTGCTTTTTGGTGTTGATCTCAACTAGAAGGTCACCGGACGCCATCTTTTTTGCAGAGTAATCCTTTCCAATGATTTCTTCCAGTACCTTGGCGACCAGGAAAGCGGACAGTTTAGAAAGTGGTTTTTCCTTTTCGGAATGTAAGACAAGAAATTTTGGAAATTTTTCAGGTACAATCGATGTTTCGAGAGTGACTTGAGCTTCGGTGCGACCTTTTTTAAGAGGCCGATCAAGAAAGTTTTTGTTGCGCAGACCCATATGAGATGGGAGGAAAATTCAGTGCCCGGGTGCACCGCCCACCACGGAGCCCAACAAGGGGGTAGGTAATGTGCCATAGCAAGAAGGGCTTGGCTGACACAATTACTCTACCAGTGCTGCCCGGGCACTATACCCTAGTGTGGTTGCAGGGACAGGACCTGTTTCCACTCAAGGTTGGCCCTTGCCGCCTAAGAAGGTGAAAAAGGAAGAGAGTGTAGAAGAAAAGAGAAAGAGGTGGGAGGAAAAGTGGAAGAAGGAAGAAGAGGGTAGAAGAGGCGACTGACTGAATCATCCTGGTCGGGCCAAGCCAGGACACCCGTCTACGAGAAGCAGAGGTCGAAGCGGTGTATTGCCTCGCCCGGGGGCCCCGAAGGGTCCAAACATACCCCGGGCTCAGCTCAACCACCAGGGTCCCCTTTTCCCCGGACACGGGTTAAGCCACGCACAGCCAGGCGTGGGTGGGTAAACCTACATGGCTCGGGGTTTGCGGTGGCGCCACTCACCAAGCACCTACCAAGGCAGGTGCCCCCTGCGTGCGGGTATGGTGGCCCGCGTGGCTGGGGTCCGTGGTGACGCTACCCACCAAGCACCTAGCACCTAAGGTGCAGGCGCCCCCTGCGGAGCTCGGGGTCCGTGGAGACGCCACTCTCCAAACACCTGCTTTCACAGGTGCCCCCTGCGGGGCTGTGCAATGATTTTAACGTTGAAAGAATTGGCATCTTCTACTTTTGACATTGTTTATCTTGACACAAAGGACAGAAAACACACCTCCTTCTTCGAAATGTAATCGCAAGGTAAAAATTAGAATATTTCCTGACCTGCAGCTGCAAGCGGCGGCCATGAGAATCACGCGGCATGACGTCAATGGAGGTCTTGTAGAAAGATAGCAAGCTGTGCGAACACCTGCTCGATAAAAAATAACTTTTCTATAAATCTTGTCGTTCCAACATAAATATAAATGCATCAAAAACATGGTATCATCAACAAAACTTTTACTATACAGAGTTTTAGTGCCGCCATCCATCCTAGGTCCACAAAACCGTCAGCTCTTTCTGCTACCGCAAATAGCCGCCAGAAGCCGGAGGGGGAGAGGGGCAGAGCCGCACGGGGGTGGCCGGACCCGGATGAGACTTTCCCCCTTTCACCGTATTGTTCGTGCTGCGCCAGCTTGCGGTCACGCGGTCGCGAGCAGATGAGTTCTCGCTGCTCACTGATGGCTCTAGAGAGAGAGCTTCACCGGAACCCCGCGCGACCCCCATTGATGTCAGAGCACACGCGACTCGGAAGACAGTGAAGTAGTTGAGAGGTGCTGAAAACCTGAATCTTTGTCCATTTTTTAAATAAAAGCTGGGACATGCAGGCAAAAGTGATTTTCCACTCTTTCATTCAGTAGAGTCGAGACACCGACTCCCAAATTATTTAACCAAAGCAGTGAAATTGTTGCACAGCTTCTTTAAGATGTTGAGGGCATTACCACTTATACTCGACTCTAGCACGACCATAATTGTAATACAGAAAGCAACATTCCATCCCAATAAAAAAAAATTTAATTGCGAATAAATGCAAGATCCTTGGAGAAATAAAAGAGTACCTTTGTAAACTAGAACTTGGCCCTAATTTTATCTTCGCAGAATAGCACAGGCCTTTACAATGCACATAGCACTGAAACTAGAGTAGCTTCGCTTCGTAGCCTGTGTGGCCTGCAGGAGCAGAAAATTAAAAAATTTGTTTCTTCGTGGGCGTCAAACTGAGGTTGTATTTGCGATTGGTTCCGTGAAAACTTCCAACATCGCAGAACTGTGAAAAATTGAAAACAATAATAAAGCAATAAACAAACCAATGACATTAAACCAAACCCGCCAAAACGATCAGAAGGGAAGAGTGAACATTGTTTGGTACATTTGGATCTGGGTTCCATTTTTCTAATCCAATTCAGATACACGTGGGTGTAGGTTGCCACTATCAAATTGAAAAATCACCAGAACTCAGAAAGTCGCAGTTATTTCTAAGTGGTTCCACCACGGAGGCTAGTATCCTAATGATACGATTATAATTCAGAGAGGTAACAAGTTTTGAAAAAAGACTCATTAAGTTTGAGTAATATGGTATACTGAGCTCCAAGTACTCCACCAGATGAAGACACGGCATGTATCGCTTTGTGGGCTAAACCTGGATCTGTCAGTAAACGGAACAAAAGCCCATTGTCAGCTGTCCAAGCATAACATTCTCTGCCTCGGGCTACACGTGCTCTTCAGTGGGCTGCGGTTAATGGCACGAATCTTGCAGGCCTGCTGGCATAAAGACAGTGTTCACCAACCATGAGAGTGACTACGAAGAAATCTTAGAAGCTAGTCTGAACAGAAAAAAACCTGTGCTGTGCCTAGTCATCACTTGTGCTTTGGCACTTCCACTGCTCCCTTCCGGTAATATCCTTCGAGAAACAGATAAACAATACCGGTGATTGTTTTTTCTGTACTGTCTGAACTACAACCGCGAAACGGACTTGTACAGATGTGACTCGTCTGTGCAAGGGTGGCAATCATGAGTAAACAGAGCAAAAAAAGATTGGTTGATAAACTGGTTTAGTATGCAGCATAAATTTCCATAGAGCTACGGCCGCAGCTGAAGAAACGTCAACGGGTATCTGCCGCATGATGATCTTGGATGCACAAGACCCTGCTGGAAATGGGCGATGTGAAATGAGGCCAAAATTCACATTGAACCAATGTGCAACTGTAGGTCCAGACACATTGAGCAATATGCATTTATGAAACAAAAACCTATGTGCACCAATTGGTAATCCTTTAGGGAATTCACATTGGGCTGAATTGGTAATCCTTTAGGGAATTCACATTGGGCTGATTGCATTTATGAAACAAAAACCAATGAGCAGCAATTGGCAACAGCTACCCCAGTGCACATTGCATTGAGGGTATTTATGGGGCAAAAACCAATGAGCAGCAATTGGCAACAGGTGCTCCTGTGCACATTGGGTTGATGGTATTTATGGGGCAAAAACTAATGAGCGGCTATTGGCAACACGCCCCCCTGTGCACATTGAATTGATGGTATTTATGGGGCGAAAACCAATAAGCGGCAATTGACGACAGGCACCCCTGTACACATTGGGTTGATGGCGTCTAGGGGGCGAAAACCAATGAGCGGTAATTGACAACAGGTGCCCCAGTGCACATTGGTTTGATGGTACCCAGTCAACCAGCAACCGTCTATTAAACATCCGAGAGATGTGTTGTTCGGACATTTAAAATATCCAGTGGATATCTGCTACGATTCATCCAACATTGAAAGTATCTACTGTGCAGTGCAAAATGGTTCCCCAGAAAACGTACCACTAACACAATCTGTTTGATGCAGCTGGACATTCAGGACCATTGTAGGATGTACCATGTACATACCTCAGAGATATTACCTTTCCTGGTATAGGGACCAGCCCTATGCCAGGAGGGCAAGGAAGTGCCTAAGCAGCCTTCATTTTATGCTAGCATATAGCGTGTAAACTGTCCTACAGAAAAATTTAAACGGATAAGAGTCCAATTCTTTACAAAACAAGAGCTCAGAGGGCAGATTTGCTGTATGGCCGTGCATGCTCTCAATGTATACCCAAATGGCGCATTACAGATGTATAATGTAGCAATCAGGCCCGCAGCAGACATTCTTTATATTGATGTTTTTTTTTCACCATCAAGCTCAGAAGCTTTACCACAGGATCAATGCAGACGACACTGACAAGGAAGGCGACACTACTGATGCTGACTCGTTTTACTGAGGTGGACCTCGCCACATGCGAGAGAACTGAAATACTGGACACAAACATTGTCATAAGCTATGACGAACGGCCCTGAGGAATTGACTACTGAAGTCTAAGGCTTCAGTAGTCATATGCTCTAGTGACGAGGACACCAGAATTCCATGAGAGCTGTAGCACCGACTGCATGGCAAAAGATGCCGCTGCAGTCTTGCAGCGTAACTTTGAACGTGAGTAGCGCACTAAATTCCTGCCCAGCCTGTCAGGCATGCACATCCGTTCTGTAGAAAAAGTTGCAGTGCCAAAAGAATCACCATTAACTCTTTATTGTTACTGTTAGACAGACGAGCAGTGCTTGATGCTTTTAAAATAAAGTATAATTTTTGAACAATGCTGCATAGACAGCATGAGGTTTTCAAAATAAAGTATACTTACTGAACAATGCAGGATACTTTGCTTAAAAAGAATGTCTGATAAACATAATAAAACGCTCAGCGCAATGAAGGCCCACTTAAGGCAGTTCACATCTCTCTCTCCTGTGGTGCAGAATGTTCCTGAAAAGCAACGAAAAAATGTTACGTTAAAGATATGTGAGCAGTGGTTTATCATTCTTTGAAACAAAACTAATAAAACAGTGAAGTTCAAAGTGAAGTGACTCAAATATGCAAGAATTGGAACTGATGTAAATAAATCACAAGTATTTTATGCCTTGTTTTTAAAGCACATTCATGCTGGATGTGTGTACTGTATTGCCAACTTTTGTTTGTTAGATTTACATCAGATATCAGTGTCCTTAAAATTCGTTGTCTATGCATTCTTTTTAATCCATAATAAGGTACTATTACATAATGAAATTTTTCCTCTTAGAGAAACACTCCAAACAAAATTTTTTTATTTAAAATTATTCAATACTGTTCACACCTGTAGTATTTGCTCTCAAATTAAACCAAAAAAGGTGTCACTGGCTTTAATATTTAAAGCATTCAAATACTCTCATATAGAAATTATGCTTTGAAGAAATTGCACACCATACTTACTGTTCTAGAAAAGTTTGATTTTTGTGCTAACATCAGCTTAATAAGACCAGCTTACCATTTGAGATGACTGATGTCAGGCAGGTGCGTGGCGAAGTTAATCCGTGACCATGGTTTCTACCTTGAAGTCTTCACATTTATGGCAGCTCTGCACTGCATCTGATAAAAGAAAGCAACAGAAGTATGACACCAACAATTCCATAAATCTGGTTCCATGTGAAGCGATCTGCACTACTGTTCCAGAGATTACTTACTTATGGTGCACTCAGCAAGGTGAAGGTTCCTGAATGTCAACTTTCTCTTACGTCCCTCCCACAAAAATTTTCGCCCCAACTGGTCAGTCAGCAACCGCTTCGTGATCTGTCTCGTACAGGAAGCATAACCAGATCCGCAGACTTTGCTGAGCTGTCAAACATAAAAAAACATCCACATAGCAACCGCTTAGTGCAATCATAACTATTGATTGGATGTTTCTGTTTATTTTTAGTCAACCTTGGCAGGTGTTTATCGGCATCCATTTCTTCATTAAATGTGCTGCAAAAATATTCCAAAAGCCGGGAATCATAATGATCAAAAAAACTGCACCGACTTTACTCAACAAGATTAACAATTTAATCAAATGTTTCGTCTCCCATGTGGGAAACATCGTCGGTGGAACCTTGAAGCAGGAATGAGCGAAAGAAACTTCAACAGTCCTATTTAAGCAAGTCCGCATACACATTGAGGAGGGGGCCGCAGCTGGAGTTACAAGCTGATGAGTCATTTCGGATGAACCATGATTCTACGAACCTGCTTGGACCCCACCTTTGTTCACGCGCCAGAGTGGACGCATTCTCAAAGTTGAAACTGTGTCCCGTATTCCAACAATGGTCTACGAGTTCCGTCTTTGCTCTTGTCGCATGCGTGGCCTTTGCCATGTTCCTTTTGTGACTTTCATTTAGCTTTAAACAGCATTGAATCACCAATCCAATTCACACATGAAGTTGAACAGAACGGTGCAAAGCCTTTTCTGTATGTTAATGTGTTCCGAAATAGTACTGGTCGCTTATATACAACAGTGTACCGCAAAGCTGTGATACAGGCAACCTCTTAAGCTTTAACTCGCATCATTCTGTCGAACATAAAAGGGCTGTCGTAAAAAACCTACTCCACCAGTCCGAACGCATTTCTTCTAATCCTCAATTGCGCGCTTCTGAGAAAAAAGTCAAATTTGGGGGATTTATGTGCTAAACCAACGACGGGCATCTGGCACGCCCCAGCGGAGGACTGAGGATTAATTTAGACTACCTGGGGATCTTCTGACGTCCAACCGAAAGCTCGGTTACACGGCGCCTGCTCCGCAATAAGCCTCCGCCACATGGGGATCCGTAGGCCAGCGCTCTCGCCTCGGAGCCACCGAGGCGGCTTGCGCGCTTCTGAGGATGCTGTTATTGTTGACCTGCTGATGAAGCGGAATTATCCGAAACGTTTTATTGATAACACGCACAAACAGATGGGACAAAGAAGTCAGGATAATGGACAACTTAGGACAGGGCAAGCAACAATACCCTATATGAGAGGTGCTTTTGAGTCCATTCGCAGGGCCCCCGCCCCTTTGAATATCCGCACAGCTTTCAAACCCCACCATAAACTATGTGACTTCATTTCTAAACCTAAAGATTACACCCCCCCAGAGTCCCAGTGCGGTGTTGTGTATAAAGTGAACTGTCTAGACCAGGGGTGGCCAAACCGCGGCTCGCGAGCCGCATGCGGCTCTTTGGTGGTCCAAGTGCAGCTCGCGGATCCCCCATAAGTGGACCCCCCCCCGGCTCCTTTCCGCGTTTCCCCAGGAAAAAAAGAAGGGATTTCAGGCAGAATAAAGTACGGCTCGCGGTTTGGCAGCCTTGTACCCCCATACGTACTGTCGTACAGCCTTGTGCACTCATACGTACAGTCAGACTCCGAACAAAATTTAAATTTGCCCTATCCCCCCCCCCCCCCCCCCCGCGGCTCTTAGAAGTTTCGTAGTTTCGTTTGCGGCTCTTAGGCCGGGTCAGCCTGGCCACCCCTGGTCTAGACAGTGACACATCCTACATTGGGGAGACAGGCTGGAAGCGCTGCACTCGCCTAAACAAACACAGCGAAGACGGAACTCGTAGACCATTGTTGGAATACGGGTCACAGTTTCGACTTTGAGAATGCGTCCACTCTGGCGTGTGAACAAAGGTGGGGTCCACGAAGGTTGGTGGAATCATGGTTCATCTGAAGTGACTCATCAGCTTGCAACTCCAACCGCGGCCCCCTCCCCCGATGTTTATGCGGACTTGCTTAGATATGATTGTTGAAGTTTTTTCACTCATTCCTGCTTGAAGGTTTCACTGATGATGTTCCCCGCATGGGAGACGAAACGCTTGATTAAATTGGTAATCTTGTTGAGTAAAGTCGGCGCAGTTTTTTTATCATTAAATTTGCTACTAATATTTATACCTGCTCTTATTGAGGCACTTCCGACATTTAAACTGAGGAATTTTGACGTCTTTATCTCAATATGGCGATTGGATTAAAGATTATACCACTGGGCACGGGCTTGGGCTTACCCGAAAGCCCAGGCCTGGGATGGGCTCGAACTTTTGACTGTGGGCCCGGACCGGGCTCGGGCCAGCACGTTGATTGGCCTGGTTCGGGCCAGCACGTTGATTGGCCTGGTTCGGGCTCGGGCCAGCTGTAATTGACCATGGTGCTGACAGAGGCCATCGTAGAAATCGGCGTCTCGGTTATCTCAGCAACATCAACTCCAGAACCACTGGACAAGTACCCATGAACGTAGGCCCACTTTAAGACAGTGGACGGCAGCGTCGTTAATCATGAGGTGAGCTTCAGGTTAATCCTAGTGGCGTGATGTTTTTGCTTGTGGTGATAAATAGCGGCAAACCAAAAATAAACGGACATTGAAGCGCTCTGTCAGGAATTAAAAATGGGGGACTCAAAAACATTAACGCTAAACAATCTCAACCTAATTGATCATGAGAAACACTTACCGTATCTCTCTCGAATAATAGCTGGGAAGTGCTAACATAGCGGCAATGATGTAGTGGGGAAGCTTACAGGCCTAGTAAACAATTATACACATACTGGGGAATGCCTGGCACATATTCAGGTATGAATACATGCTCAGATCTACAAAATATTTTAGGAGAAGATACAAACTGCAAATTAGTAGTCTTTCTTAGAAAACACATTGACGTATCTTAATCACAGTGCTAAAACCCATAAAAACACTTGATTACAATTATTTTAATAAAAAAAGTTCTGAATATGTACATGACACCAGCAGTCATAACTTTGATTTAGTTCATCGCAAGCTATATTTCTCTGGCAGCAAACGAAGACAAACCTTTTAACTGTGCAGTGAACCAGAATTAATACAATACGACGAAGTTTTTGTATACCACTTTAAAATAACCACAAACAACGCTTTTCAGATCAGTATGTTTTGCTATAAAAGGCTAAAGCCATAGTCCTTACAGTATATTATAAAGCTTTTAGTCTTGCTGCATCCAGTTGTGGCTTTGCTTAGCCTTTGTGCGGTTTGAAGGTCTGCAGGTTACAATTCGCCAAGGAGGCCATCTGTGGCGGAGATAATTACCAAACCTTACCGGATGAACATTGATTCCCTCTTCTATTTGAGAACTTTCGTCTGTGAAGTCTTGTTGAGCCACATGCCATTGCCAATGCACACATAGAAGACATAAACTTCAGTTCATCTTTGAAGCAGCACTATGTACAGGAAATTTACCAGCGCAATATTCGTGACTCCAGCGAAATCGACGCCGCATAGCGGCAGCGCCGAGAAGCTCAGGAGAGGAGGTTGTCCCGACTCTGTTGTCTGCTATCGCTGCTTGGTTCTCGTAGGCAGCATAGAAACAAACATTGTTTCCAGTAATTATTTTAATGATTCCACCGGGTCCTTCCTACGCACTGAGTAGACAAACGTTTCTAGGGTCGAAAAATCGCTTTGCATTCAAATGTAACACCGATTTTACGCTGCAGTGCAGGAATTTGTGATGGTCCGCATGCTGAACAACGAAAACGATCTTCTTTCGTCCGAATTTTGCCTGAGAAGCGCGCCATCTATAGTTCGCTGGAGTCGCGAATAACCTGGACTGGGATTGAAAACAGGGGTCCTATTTGTCAACGGCATGCCTCAAAATTAATTTTGTTGATGAAAAAAAAAATTGTAGCAATATTTACGCGGAAAAACGCAATTTGAGTTTGGCACGAAACGGAACCGGTGTAACTAGCAGGTATCCTTTTTACCTCATTACTGTCAGAGTTAACGATTTGAATGATTCGACGTGATCCCTCACCCTCCTCCTCTTCTTCATCTCCTCTCTCTCCCCCAACGAACTGACAAACAAACGAACACGCACGCACGCACGCACACACACACACATACCTCTTCTCCAAATAGACACAGACTGTGCCACGCCTTGACAGATATAATTCATTCTAACCTTAAGCCTATCAGCACAGAAAAAATGTTAAAACACATAACCTTTACCTAGTTTCTGGGCATATGAAAAACAAACACACGGCACCCCTATCGATGAAATTCCTTGTACTTGTGGCGGCATAACTAAAGATAATCTCAAATTTAAAATACGTCTTATGAATTGCTTCGCAAGCGCGAAAATGAAATTACAATTACCTGTCTCAAACAAGCTTCCTCCAGCCCTCCCGGGCGGGTCCCTATCATTTCGTCGAAACTCGTTTCGTGGAATTACGTTTCGTGGACAACTTTTCGTGGACACACGTTTCATGGACACACGTTTCGTCGACACTGTGACATTTCGTCGACAATCGTTTCGTCGGCAGCACCACCGTAAAACGTTTCGTCGACAAACTTTTTTTTTTTTTTTTTTGCTGTTTCGCAAGGAATGCTTGAAACTTAAGGTTCAAGCGCTTGGAGATGACAAAGACGATGCCTAGCGCAGTTGCTCTCCAAGGTGAGCAACTGCGCTATCCTCTCGCTCTCATGCGTGTCACATGGAATAAGCAAGAGCGCGCAGGACTTTGCGCGCGGCCTATTCGGATATTTGCAAGTTCCGATGCCCGTTTATGGAACCGCAAGTTACAGGGAGAAAAAAAGTAGTGGAGAAAAATATGCGTAGGCGCAAAACAAAACTTCGATCCAATGGTGGGTTGCGGAAAAGGGCGTAAACACTGATTTTTTTTCTTTATATTGGTTATTTTTAAACAAAAATACAGCTTGCAGCCTTTTATTGCGACATTACAACCCTAATATTTCACTTGAAATTAAGCATGTTCATTACCCTTAATTATTCAAAAGGAAAAGTGATGCGGTATTTTACTGGCTACTGTGACTTATACGCGAAAAAACTGTTTAGTCTCACTCGTTTCATCGTCATTTTTTCTTAAGGGCCGTTTAAAAAGGACATTACATAATAAGGGGGCTGTAAACAATGTCAAATAAAAAAAATAAAAAAACACGAAAACCAGTAACACTCGCACTACTGCGAACACGCTGCCCGCGAATAAACCTAAAAAAAGCTACATTAAAAAGAAAAAAAAAACGAGAATTGGTAACATGTAAACAAAAAATTACACAAAGTTGTCTTAGTACACAAAGTAAACCATAGTTGCTATCAAATGTGCAACTTAATGCATTATATATCTTCTCTCGAGCAGCCGCCACATCCAAGGCCTTGGAGGCGGCAGTACCAGACGAGATCTGTCGGCAGCAGCCTACTGGTTCCTCACACGCAACATTCAATTGTTCTTTTATCGATGCCAGCAGACAGATACCTGGGGCAAGTTCGTGACCCAGCTTTTTGCATAAAGGAGCGGCTTCCAAATCTAATGTCTTTTGGTCGCATATTGGTTTATGTGCATGCAAAATTTCAGTACAGACATAACATATGCAGAATTATAGTATTATTTAATATCCAAAAGCTAAATATGCTAAAAACTAAAAATCGTATGCGGTCTGGTAAGTAGAGTACGTTTAATACCCGGTGTTTGGAGGGAAAAACGACCGTGCTTTATCACCGTAAAAGTAAACTACGCGTAGCCGAATGCTCAGTCTCCTTCAAAGTTTATTACTTGCGGCTAAGACCAGATGCTGATTAGCTTAAAAAACAATTTTATGCCATTTTTACCGGTAGAAAGGCTGTGTGATTTGCAAACAGGCCTCGTTTTTTCTTTCAAATATTTTTTAAGAGCTTCAGTGTTTTGACGTGTGGACTATCTATGCTATGTTCAGGTTAGAGCACTATATAGCTCCCACGGAGCAGAGTAGCGCAATCCTTTGAACCCCGTGTTTTGCCGACAACATGGCCGACAGAGCGGCTCGGCGCGAGTCACGTGGTACTCAGGGTTCCAGGAGGCGGCCCACCCTATGGGAGAATACATGAAGATCGACATAACACGGCTGATTAAAAAACTAACGGCGAGTTCACACTTTTCAAAACTAGCCTGTCGTGAAGTTAGTAAAGCGCTAAACACTTTCTCAAAGTTTTAATAATATCGGATGCGTGCGCAAATTTTGAGAAGGCAATTTCCAAGGCAATGGCGTTTGAAGCAGACGATTTTTGCTCGCAGCGGAGATGGGCTTTTCGGGTTGGCCGGAGCGGGTCACGTGAATGGTGTGACGTCGCCGTGTCGTCTGCTGCATGATGCCGCTCAGGCAATTTTTAAAAAAAAAGTTACGTCCTTGTATGGCACAAAACTTATCGCATATTATTCTAAAATGTTCCATTATTATGTCAAAAATGATTTCCATTCCGCACATCCCCACAAAACTGAAGAAACAACGATTTTCTCACGTTCTCCATGCATTTCTGACCACAGTTGGAACCTCCGGGCGTTCGCCGCTAGTCGCCGAGAGACGGCGTTCTAGATTGCGCTACTCTGGTCCGGAGGAGCTATATAGTGCTCTAGTTCAGGTGGGTCTTGAGGATTTTACCAAAAGACGCGACGCGCGGAATGATACACTTGCTCTGGAAACGATCGTGCCACTTTTTCAAAACAGTCGGAGTGCTGGCGGCCAGCTCGCGAAGGGTTGCATTTGATTACGTACAGACACCTCGGTCACGTATGCTGCCGAAAGCGTAGCCCTCAAAAGCAGCGCATATTGTTGAATGTTTTAAGAATCTAATTTGAGAAAGGACAGTGGTAGAGATCAAAACTTCACGGCTTTGACAACGCTTCCCCAAAGGTTCGTGCAAAGACACGAGCGAAACCATACAAATCGTAAGTTCCGAAATCAGTGCAATCGGTGCCCCCCCCCCCAAAAAAAGAAGAAAATAATAAGCAGAAAAAAAAATTGCGATAGTTTTTAGGTACGGCGAACCAGTGCGCAGCCATCTTGCCTCCAGGCAAGATGGCTGCGCACTGGTTCGGTATACTTGGCCCAGTCAGCCATCTTTCCTCCATCCATCCATCCATCCGACACAAGGCCGCACGCTGCGCAGGCGCAGAGGTCGCGAGGAGGTGCAGCTGGCGGAGCCAGGATCTGGCAGAGCGAGCTGTCGACGAAACGTCGCAACATCTGTCGATGAAACGAGCGAGTGCTCGTTTCCACGAAACGATCTGTCGATGAAACATCGCAGTGTCGACGAAACGATTTGTCCATGAAACGTCGTTCGACGAACTGATTGCC